GAAGCACATGGCTGAAGCAGAGATTCAACTGTCATTACTGAAAATAAGCTTAGAAAAGTACGTTTTGAATCTACTTCAGGCCTTCAGTGTCTATCACCTATTGAGTAACAAAGGTCCCTGGAGCACTGTTGCAATGGTAGAAACCTCACCACTCTCAGGCACTTGAGTGCAGCCCATCCTTGGTTTAATATAATAATGATAATAAAGTAACCATGAGAACATGCTCTGCCATAAGCAGAGAAAAAGCACAGGCTGAATCTCTGAGCTAAAAATGGCAGTGAAATAGGTTTAAAATCTGTTGTGGTAAACATCCTTGGGGTAAGATTTTAAGTTGCAGGCAGAGGTGCCACCCCAACCACTCACCGCTTGGTGCCCTTTGACTTGGGGTTTTTGGCAAACAGGGACGTGTCCAGTGACTCCAGTGACTTCCCTTTTGTGCTGAACAGTCTCTGGGCTCGTTCTTCTAGGGTCCTAAGGAGACAGGAGGAGTAAAAGGCATCAGCACTACCTTACCACACATGCTTGTTTATTTTTGCAATTTCAGGTAACAGAAAGAATGGAATCAGAGCCACTGAGAAGTTCATGCAAACACACAATAAACGGGATAGTTCAGATAGAAAAACGAGTTTCTTACCCCCCACACTTTAGGCCCAAAGCTAATAGTGCAGATTTCAATCTGTCCAGTCCCAGGGAGGCCAACTCCTAGTTAAAAAAAAAAAATCATAATTTTATATATAAATAGATTCTGAGAAACAACAATGTTCTAACTTAGGAATTTGTAGGCTGGTGAGGGAGAGTTTCTGACGCTGCAGCAAGGTCACAGATTCCACAGCCAATGTCCTACCAGTAAGCTTAAGCTTTCCAAAGAACTGACTGTGGTCCAGTCCATATATAACATACCGGTAGTGTTCCATTACCTCCACCAGAGCTTGACGGAATTATTTCAGTTCTCAAAGTAGTTGGATAAGTTCTACTCTTCAAAACAGCCTTTCCAATTCTCTGTAAATATGTGGTCCCAGGAACCAGCATCTTATTATAATACATCCATGGCATTAAAATAGGAGACTCAAGTGGTTCCTCTGAGGAGTAAAGAAGGAAAATGCCAACGGCAGTGGCTAAAGAAAACATACCTCCCAGGAGGAGAATGCAGAGAGGTCAAGATGGGCGCCAGCATGTGTCAGGGCACTGCTTGTCTCTTTCTGGCAACAAGAATAGTTATGTTTAGTAAGATCCAGGCTAAGAGCAAAGACAAGGGAGCCATCTCAACTATCTAGTGTTTATTGGTCCCTTTCTCATTTACATGTATGAATAAGTCTCAAATCCCTATAGAAGTACAATAAAATACAGGAATTCCTCTGAGAGTTAAGGGAAACTTAAGTTTCACAAGAACTGAAGGCAGAGAGACTGGCAGCACACACTCTTACTGGCTCCACACAACAGTAGGAACCACACAAAAGTAACAAGAGGACTGGTGAAAATATGGTAGAGCCCTGACAAATCTTATTCCAAAGTACACAGAAAACCAACACATGTGACAGAGAACATCTTCTGGCCACAACTGATCCCAAAGGAGTCTCTGCCCTAAAGCACAGACTCAAAATTAAAGTAAAATAACCAGGTCGAGTCCCTGGCATGTTCTTCATCCATAAGCCCACTGAAGCTCACCGGCCATCCAGGAAAAGTACCATTGTCCCACTTCTTCTCAAATTCAGTCTGAATTTTTCCAAAAAGTTCATTCTGATCTTGCAGGGGTTTCACTCTATCTGTATAATCCTGAAGATACTCAAGCAACATCTCCAGATATCTAGGGGAACAGAAATACATAGAAAGCATTTTTTTTTTTTGCTGTATTGTTATGCTACATAAAATAAAATTTTGTTACTACCAGTTTCTAAAAATAACACTAGTTTTGAAAATGAGCTTACAGCTAACTTCCCTCGAACATTTCATTTTAATTTTTCCTATTTTCTTTCATTCTCATTTTTTAAAAAAAGATTTATTTATGCATACAAGAATTGGGGTATAGGCCAGAGGTACAAAGGGTGAGAGGATTCACCAGAGACAGAGTGGCAGCAGAATAGGCAGGTGAACTGAAATACACTGTTAAAGGGAACAGGGGGGAGACAGGAGAGGTCTGCTATGCCATGTGGGTCAGCTCCCTGGCTGGGGATTGTACTTGTGCTGCATGTCTGTGGATAGCTTCGGAGTGGCTGAGACACCCCTTATGCCACCAGGGAGGCCCTAAATTAATTCAATTAATTTAAAGTTTTAATAAAAAACTCTTAATTAACCTGACATCTATAATTTCAGGTAAAAAGAAAATCAGTGCATGGCCCTCCCTGGTGGCGCAACAGGTTAAAGCACAGTACTGCAAGCTAGCCGTGGCTGCTTCAGTGTAAGTTCGATTTCCAGTTCCAGAGGTGATCCACATGGTGCAGCAGACCTCTCCTGACCCACCCACCCCCCTCAGCAGTGTACTTTGTTGATCTACCTGTTCTGCTCCCCATTCTGTCTCTGATGAATCCTCTCACTGCCCCTGCACCTCTGGCGTGCACCCCAGTTCTGTATGCATAAATAAATCTTTTTTTTTAAAGAAAAGACAGTAAGTACAGATCATTAATAGGGACATACTAACAGAAACAAAACTTTTCATGTATACCTCAGACCCAGGCATCTTCCAACTCAGTCACAATTTCAAAGTTTAATTTTTTTCCCATTTAACTCAGACACAGGAGCCCTAAAAGGGAAACTTTCTTCTCCTATGAGGTAAAATAAGATCACAAGTGTGCCCATAATCACATTCTTCCCACTGCCAGAGTATTAGAAATGTTTTAAAGACAGGTCATTCAAAACCCCTATTCTCCATTAACCCTGGAAGTCCCTCCACATAGCCCTTTCAGGCAACACAAGTCAGAAGTCTTCCCTCAAACTTTCACATTAAATAATCTTCTAATCAAATCCATTAAAGGCCTAGAAGCTAGGCCAGCCTACCTCTTATATTCTGCATTCTTCCTTTCTTTAGGAATGTCAAATAACTGGTCAAAGATGGATAGGTATGTGATATAATCCAGCTTCTGGAAAGAGAAATGACAAAGAGATTCATTTAGGTGTTTGTACCAAATTACAAGATACTCTTCAGGGAGAGATAGATGGGGTGTGGGCCCATATGGCTGAGGGCAGGTGGTAAAACAAAAACAAGAAACCCCAGGAAACCAAAGAAAAAGTAGAAACAATATTAAAAATTCCCTAAATTTTGCCAACTGTTTAAGCAAAAACAAAACCCACAATACACTCTTCAATAAACTGGGTGCTGTCTAACAAAGTTGTATGACCTGGTTCATTTTAGTCTTTTCCTTTCCCATCACTTAATTCCTACACTAACTGGGTAGTTAATTCCACTAAACTGACATATAATTAGTTCTGTAAAATAAAGATCCAATTAATATACAGTAAACTAAAAGAAACATTTCTAGAACACTAAGGGACAAGCACCTTGTTAAAAATTCTGACACCAATTTTATTCTAAAACCAGATCCTGGAAGGTACCATTCATTCACTCATCAATCGCTTACTGAACATCTCTGGACCAAGGACATGGACGCTGGTGAGGAGACACACACAGACCTGCCCTCTTGGAATTTAAATTTTACTGACTAAAATGTTGGGACCTTGCAACCTTTCTAAGACTGTCACATTAAATTCACCTGTTGGGAAAAATTATCCTTAATGTCTATAAAAGCCATTAGACAGCCATAGACTGGCTGACAGCATGCGCTTATGTTGTCCACGTACCCAATGCTATGTGCCGAACACAGGAGGTCCATCTGGGTATCTGAACGAAATGTTTTTTTTTTTTTCTTTTACAAAAGCAAAATAGTTTGGTGCATTAATAAGCAAATAAAGCCTATAAATAAAATATGCTTTTGTCCACTGTCAAAACCTTTTATTCTGCCCACGGGGATTACAATTGAGATAAAAAAAATGTACAAAATGATGTAAAAATAAACTATTATATTATAAAAAAAACCTTTTATTCTGAATATCGTTTATTCTAAGAAAGCACATCATCTCTTTAATATTTAAGCAACAGTTACAAAACACAAGAAGGCGTTCTAGTCACCTCATGTCTAGCAGCCTCAGTCAAGTGTGCTGACTCATCCCTACAATCAGAACTCCAAAACTCATCCCTGTAATCAGAACCCCAAATCTCACCTCAGAGGCTTTCAGGTTAATGTATTTGAGATAACAGTCATGGAGATCAAGGTAACGACCATAACCCTCTTCATCTGTGAACTCCACCAAATCTGAAGGAATCAGAGATAAAACAACTCAGATGCAAAAGATCACTTTCTTGGATTTGGCTTTTCAAATGGAATGCTAATCCCCAATTTCATGAAGCAGACCTATATCCTATGTCCTCCCTATGTTCACAAAGTGAGCCTATTTCAGCTAGCAGGCCAGTGATTTTTTGAGCTAGGTTAACAGAGAATGAATGTTTTATACAAGGTCAATTTAGGGTATCAAATCAGAAACTAACAAAGAAAAATCCAGTGGAACCACATGACTATAAATTTTTGTAGGGATTCTGTCATTCATCTGTCTTTTTGCTAGTGGGGATAAAAGTGCTAAATTCTATTTACTTTGTGCCTCTTCACTGGGATTCTCTCGAGCCTTCAGGAGCTCCTCAAATTCCACCGACATTGGCACACAGATCTGAGGGAAAAAGAGACAGTTCACGTGGATTTTTCAACACATAAGTTGCAATCACAGAAATGAGCTGTATAAAAGTTGGGACTTTTGCAGCATTATTTGGTTTTGACTTGTTATTAAGGACCTGCTACTTTTCTCCATTTACCTTGTTTCTATTCCTTATTTTGTATTGATTAAAAATCCTAAATTAACAGTCACAAAAATGCAAAAACAAAATGAAAAATCAAAATTCCCTCTTAATTTTCCTACAAACAGGTTACCATTGTCAACAGACCGTTTTTAAAATCCAACCATTCCCACTTTGCTGCATATTGGAATCACTTAGAAGAGCATTAAAAATTCTGCACATGATCCCGTTAAGTTGGGGGTCTGGTAGCAAAGGAGGCCAAGTATCAGTACTTTTAAAGATCCCGAGTGACTGAAATCTACAGCCTAACTTGGAAACTAGTATATGTATACTTAAGTGTATGTATATAAGTACATACATACTTGTACTCAAAGTTACCTCGTTTTCCACATAATCGCGTACCTTTTTTTCACCTTGTATTAACTTGCGTATCCTTCCAATCACACAGTGTACTGCTTATCCTTACCACCCTTCTACCAAGGCAGGAAAAGGTTCACGCACCAGAACAACAATGCTCTTGTTTTTGTTCTTGGTTACCAAAAGTCTTCATAGTCTACTCTTCAAGAAGGGTGAGGAGATTCTATAGGTGTATTGAATGCACCTTCGCCCATCCCCAGATAAATAGCCATTTCTTTCTGATAACGATGAAAAAGCTCTTCCTTTTTCATCTGCAACTTGGTTCATGGCTCCAACCATCAAGTCCATGGGATCATTTTCAAATTTAAATCATGAGCATTTACCTCTTCCCTGAGTCCTATTCCCCTATTTTCAACTGCTTATGAAACACTTCTTCCTAGATCTAACTCACCTGAAAATCTATATTTATATAAAATTTGTTCTTCACTGCAAATGGGGTTACTTCTTTCTTCATCTTGTAAATCACGGGAACAAACAACTTTCCAGTCACACACAGTCAGGAAGTCTCAGACTCTCGGTCAGGAATCTATGACCCATCCCTCTCCACTTCCACTGTAGTCACGCCTTGCTACCCATTTCTCTGTAATACCTCTGGTCAGACATGAATGACATTTAACAGTTTCAAGACGATTAAGACAATACCTGCTCTTTACAACCTTAAAATATAGTGGGGCAAATATTCATTGTCATAATAGGACATGATCATAACAAAAGTAAAGATTAATGGGGGAGATTACAAGAGATATCTTATGAGAGTTATCTCTGGGCTGAATCCTGAAAGTATAATCTAGTGGTCACTAGAAGTGAGCAAAGCCTCTTTTTGCAACCCAATGGGAAGCGCTGGAACAAAGACTACTTATTAAAGAAGATTCACACTGGACAGAAAATAGCCAGGATACATTGCTCTCTGTCACTGCCTAGGAAAAGTATGCCTTCAGCTTAACACTGAGGGGGAGAGTGAATCTAAGTGGAATCTAAGGTATCTGTTCTTTTTTGAACAGACATGGATTGACACATCTCCAATTTCCTTATACCTTCAGCATGCTCTGTGGGTAGGTTTGAAGAAAGTACTTTCTGAGGCCATACCTCATTTGGGTGCTTCCGGTGGAACTCTTTTATTTGCTTGAGTCTATTATAGAATTCAGCAAACTCATTGGGTCCTGAAATGGCATTGAGTTCCTCCTTTCGTAATCTGCAATTTCAAGAAAAATTCAAAGAACATTGAGCATTAAGTCAGTTCTTTAACCATGCCACCCCAGAATTGTGGAGTGGCTGTAATGGTCACTTACCCATCCTTGTCATCATACAAATCCCTCAGGTTCCCACTGACTTCCATATACCTCTGAAAGACAAACACAAATCTATCAGAATGAAGTAATCTATGTAACTAGGGCTAAGCAGCTGAGAAGGAATCGGCAGTCAAAACCCAGGGAAAACTCAAGAGAAATGGTGTGAAAAGTTCCCGGCTTTCTGGTTAATTTTTAAAGCAAGTCAATTTTTATATTACCTAGGTGATATGATTTGCATGGGGGCAAATTGCCATTATCTACATACTACTGATGCTTAACTTTTCCTCAGAGTCACATCAAAGAGAGTTCCCCTTTGCTACAACAATCTTTACCTACAACCCTCAAAGGTGAAAGGGCAGGTCCGAGATGACTTTCACTACTTCAAAAAATTTGACTGTGTAACACACAGGCTAAAGAAAACATCACACAGCTGCCTATGGATTCAAATTCAGAATGGCTGGAGTACATAGTGCCTCTTCCATAATTTTTGGGACCAGATTTCCTTTAGAATTTGAAATGCTTAAGTTCAGAAAGGTGCTATATATTCTCTAATATTCAAAACAATACTAAAAGACAATATTCTCCTTGGGGGAGATGGGGTAAATAGTACCTTCTGCATTTGCCTCACTGACTCCTCTCTAACCTCTTGGCACACACTTGGGATGCGGAATGCTGTAAGTGGGGGTGTCTTCAGAGTAACGAAGAATGAATGCACCCCCTCATTCAGAGACACCAGGAGGGGCAACTAAGCACCCTCAGGTCTGGCAGTCACGCGGACATCTCCAGGCAGACAACCCGTCACTGGCCAACCTGTTTACCTTTGCCCAATGTTTCAGGTTCAGACCCCCGCACCCCGCCTCCCTCTTTTCCAGTTCACCCCGATCCAAAGCGAAACGGGCAGGGGGGCACTCACATCTTGCATGGCTCTTGTGCGGTGGTCAGAATTGATTTGGTCCCGGAGCTGAAAAAAGGCAACGGTAACACAGGCGCCGTTAGTAGGCGTTTTGGAGCTGGAAAGGCCGTCCGAGGGCGGAGCTTACAGCTCAGGTCGCTCCCGCCGTGGCACAGGAGCCCGTGGGGCGCAGGGACCGAGGAAGTTCCAAAGCAGAGATCCTAAGGGGGCCGCGGGAGGGCCAGGGGCGGGGCCCGGGAAGGGTCCGAGCGCCAAAGTAAACTCTCGGCGGTTAACACCCCCGGGCATGGGGCCCAGCGTCAGATGCCGCGCCTCCCCAGGCCCCACTCACCGTGGACTTCTTAGTGAGCATCTCTTTGGCCATGACGTCCATGAGCCGTTCCTTCTCCTCATGATATCGCCGCTGCTGTTCCAGAATTGTCTCCATTTTATCTTCGCCGCAACTCAATACAGACCACCAACACGACCGGAAACAACTCCTGCCGCCTTGCGCGCCCGCGTCCCCACGCTGCGCATCCGGCTGCACCAAAGTTCCGCAAATACCGGAAGTGCCTCGGGGACTCGAGGAAAAGTGAGCACCACGATATTCCCGGCTATGCTATCGAAATGGCAACAGCGTCTCCTGCTGGCCGGGGGTGTGGTGGCTGCATGCCGAGCGATTTGCAGGTGACTCTAGAGGGCATACAGAAATCTCTCCTGTAACCTGAAGTTAGGCTACAGGCTTCCTGGGACTTCCAGGGGGCTGGGTAGGCAAGGACAAAGTGTAGACGGAGGGATGATCATTGATGGGAACCGGAGGATCGGAAATGGAGTCTCTTTCCATCAGTGTGACCTCTAACATTTTATCCTTTTTGGAATCTTGGTGTCCTTGGTAAGTAAAAAGAGGATAGATAATAGCACTTTTGGTTTTTGTAAGTAACCTCATTGTCTGACTGCAGGGGACTGGCTAAATAAAATATAGTACACGCACTCAATGATTGCTCTACAGGTGTTTTTTAAAAAAGAGAAGTAAATCTATGTGTCCATTTCCAGAGAGAGAAATGAAAACAAGTCAGTCTTGCCATACATTCAAAGCGTTTTTCATAAGGAACAAAAATTGGACACAAGCCTAAAATCCTTTAACTGGCAAGCGGATAAACGGATGTGGTATGTCCATATAATAGCATATTGTTTAGCTATAAAGAATGCTATATTATGGACAAACCATGGAAAGGTCATGCTAAGTAAAGAAAGCCAAACACAAAATGACATAGTGAAATGTCCAGAAAGGTAAATCAATGAAGACAGAAAGTAGATGAGGGTTTGCCTATGGCTAGAGTTGAGCTTGAAAATTACTGCAAATGGGCGGAGACATTCTAAAATTGGATGGCAGTGATAGTTGCACAGCATAATAATTTACTAAAATTAATCAAATTGGGAGCCTCCCTGGTAGCGCAGGGGTTAAAAACAGTGCTATCAAGCTATCACCAGCCACTACAACATGAGTTCCATCTCTGGCCAGAAAGCCAACCCACATGGCACAGTAGAACACTCCTTTCTTGCTCGCTGCTCCCCTCAGCAGTGTATTTTAGTATAACAGCCTGCTCTGCTCCCGACTATGTCTCTGCTGAATCCTCTCACCCCCTGTAATCTCTGGCCTACACCGCAGCAGAATAAGTGAATAAAACTTTTTTAAAAGTCATACCTTGATCACACAACGCATCTGAGTTTCTGAGATATTAAATCTGAAAGATGTTTATCTTGAAATCAGGGACACAGTATTACACCTCCACATCTTTTCCTCTTAACTGGGAAAACAGTGTTCCCCGAAGAAACACTGTTCACCTGATCCCATCTCTCCCTACAACCTTCTTCTCCATCTATCAGAACAGGTATCAAGTCCTGTCTTTTCCATACCTGCTTCTTGCCTTCTTTCACGCAGACTGACGGACCAGTCTCCTCTCCAGCCTGCTCATCTTCCCCTTCCAACCCATTATGCTTGCTGCGGGAGACCATCTCACCACTGGCTTAAACATTTCCACTGGGTGAGCTTCCCACAGGGTGAGGTCCGTTGAATTTGGCTCTCTGCTTTTCAGGGCCGGCCTCTGCCAGTGAAATTACTCCCTGCTACCCCCAAACACCTTGTGTTTTCAGGCCTCCAGGCCTTTGCACCGGCTGTTTCCGAAGCTTGAACTATCCTCCCCCAGTAAGTATTTATTAAGCATATAATAGGTGCTGGGACCTGAAGGGAGAGGAGGAAGGTGGTGA